ATATCACCACCGACGATGAAGACGCGGCCGCCGCCACCACCACCATCGAAGGCTCATACCTTCGTGTTATCCCCTCCTCAAAATCAAGTATGCACAACTGTAACATTTTGGACGCACCAGTGTTGGCCGATGCCAAGCCCATCAACTGTCCAATCTCTAACCAGAAAAAAAGAAAACAAACCACAACCACCACGATTAACTAATTCCCCCAAAATCTTCTTAGTGTTTCTCAGATTGACTGAGATGTGATCCGAAAAAATCGTTATGTTATAGCTTGGTTTGAATATTCCCCAGTTTAGTTATAGATTTTGTTGAAGAAATGGGTTTTGGAAATTACTTTTTATACCTTTGGTTCCAGCAACACTCCTCGTCGTTTTTGACGACGGTGGTTGGGAGGCCTGGAAGACGTAATTTTCTTATACTGGACACCTTTTGTTTGTTTGATAAAACATAATAAATTATCTAAAAAATAAAAATTTGAAAGCAGGGTTAATTTTGTCATTTTATGACTAAACAATTAAGAAGTGGAGTGCGATTATTAGCTGGGGGAGTGTAAATATGGATTCCCTCATCTGTTTGGGAGAATAATATTTTAGCACCATTAAAAAGACATAGGTTTAAACCATGGCATGCCCAACTAATTAAGCAAGATATATATGATATTCACTAATGGAAAATGGTTTTGTATGTTAGTGGGGCTTCACACAGGAAACAAGATGAAAGCCCCATATGGCATAGCTGATCAGATTAATCAACTCACCAGAATTCCATTAAAAAATACTTACCAGTTTAGTACTGGAATCTCATATTCAAAACATAGGTACCGGTAGTTATTACGACATATCAACAGATTCCACACAATGTGAGAATTTCGAATCTCTGGCCAAACTGTATATTCAACTCTCGTAAAATTGTGTGCTTTGTACTACTCATGCTATAATTGTAAATGGAAAGCAAGAGGAATTTTGACCCAAAACATAAAGAGCGAAGGAGGAACTTGAGCTAAATTGGTTCTTGAGAAATGAGAAAAAGAAAAGTGAAGGATGTGCATGGAGGGAAGAATCATAGTCTGGGCTGGGTATTGTGGAGGTGGGCTACTCCAAAAGATGGCCCCAAGACACATAGAGGCTTGTCACAATGCTTGGGGGTGGCAGCGGAGGCCCAACTAAACTGTAAGTGGACCTTCTTCCCCATAATGGTGGTGGCTGAGTTGGTTACCCTTACCTGCTACCACCGTTGTTTGCGGCAAAGATTGGGGAAATCATCAATCAGTAGCAAGTAGGAAATAGTAACCTCTTCCTGTTACCTGTGTTCTTTTTGCTAAAGTGCACCCTTTTCTTTTTGTAAAAGGCCCTTGCAAATTGCAATCTAAAGTCTTGGGCTTCGCGAATGGCTTGTGGCCCAATCTCCATTATAACTCGCCTAAAAGCAAACAAAGAGGAAACACACCTGAAAACACCTTTCTCCTGTTTTCGGCCCTATCTCTTTTGGGGGTCAGGATCAGGAAAAATAACACAAGAGTTAGAAAAGCATCATCCTTTTTGTAGAAAACAAGAGGCGGCAAGAGGGCTGGCAGAAAAAAAAAAACCATTTCCTCCTGGAATTTTTCTATTCTTTTAATCTTCAATAGGAAAAGTTTCTGGCGAGGTTTCTTTTATTCTTGTCCTTTTTTGCCTCTGTATAATTCTTGGGTTGACAAAGCTTAGCTTACCACGTCTCATGCCCGGTGCAATTACCGGGGGTTAAGTGTTAACGATACAAATTGGCAAATTATTGACGGACAAGAGTTAGAATCTGCAACTTAATGTATTAATCGATGATCTGTTTTGTCATCTCATCCCTCATTCTTTAAAATTGGCCACCACAGTAAAAGCAGAAATGATTGTCTGCATGACCTTTTGAAATGGATGGCATATTTTTAAAGTGTGTTAGCGTAGAAAGATGGGGGGTAGATAGGATTTGCTTTTCCATGAGGATCGATGACTTGATTTGATTGCTACCTTCAATCAACACCGCCTATGAAGTTTTGCATTAATCAATGGGTGAACATCCACCAAACTTTAGAATAGAGACAAATTAGGAGTTCCAACTCATTGAAATAATATAGCTCAAAAATTCATGCATGCATGTAATGTAATGTGCCTTGAGAGTGTCGCGCCAATATCTTTGGTTTCTTTTATAATCACAAATGAACCAAATGCTAGAATAGATCAGTTAAAAAGCACCTTTCATATTGAATATCGACAATATTTGAAATATATACAATAAAATTTAATGAAATGTTTTATATTAATACCTGTGTGTCACATATTCTTACGTGATCACTGATCTTGCTTCCTGTAATATCACGTTTGAATAATTATTTTGGGAATGTGATTTCAGTGCTTTGTATTGCTCTAAGCTGTTTTCTTGAGGTCTTCTTCCTAAAAACGAGAAAAAGAATAAATAAAAATTACATAGGCAACTGGTATCCCGTGGTGATATATATCTCCTCAATTATATTTTTCACAAAACATAGCTAACAAAATTTTCATAGTATATACTTTGATTTCCCACTATAAAAGCAAGTTAGTGAGTTTCATATCCTTGCATCATTGCTAAAGTGAGGAAAGAGTCTGATGATTTATCATCACCTATATACTAACCTGTACAAAGATGAGTAAGTTAATGAGGATCCACTAATTAAGCCATCTAACTTTGTCTCCCAAGACATGAATGTCAATATGATTTTTGGTGCTCGGGCTGAAAGAATACTATAAATAAGAATGTTAGTATAAACAGAAAACCAAGTGCGGGAACAAAGCATAAAGCCATGATTACTGTAAACGGAGAAGACACATGCAATGCAGTTACATGAGCTTCTTGCTCTCAAAAAGGATTAGTCTTGACGCACAATTAAAGCTTTCATCCACTGTAATAATTGCTATAATTACATTGCCATTCCCGTCCAAATTTGGTGTGTGTACCAAGATCAGACGTTCTTTTCTTTTTTTTTTTAAAAAAAGTGTTTTGGTTGTATTAGTTGATTAGGATTGAGGATCTATAAGTAATGGATGTATATAGGTGTGTGTCCACCAGATTGTTTACTGGTTATTGCTCTCCTACGGAGGTGGTCACACACAGGCTGACAGTGCTCGTCACGGATGTAAAGTCATGAGAACTGAATTTTGCTTCTTCTTTTTGGGTCGGAAATTGAATATTGCTCTGATTTGTCATCAAACCCACCAATCATGCATTACTAATTCTGCAGCAAAAACAGCAGACAACAGGAAGCATGTGACCACACACAATGACACAAATGCACATAGAATAGAGATAGACGGTAATCGTGTGGTAATGTTGCGCAAACAGTACTGTATGCGTATTACTGGTATGGGTTGACCCAGAGATGACACAAACAAAACTAGTCAAAAAGGTGTCCTGTTAGTCTGCCTTTTATCGTGGAAAGAATTCTGCCTCAATCCGCTAGTAGTATGTACTATTAGATACTGTGCTCCAAACGCGCGCCAGCTGTGAAGTGCCTGATGAGAGTGAGACTGTGTCTCCAAACAGAATTGGAGTTTGGCAAAACAAAGAAACCCATTTGACGCCTATTGCCAATTTCTTTTTTAATGCTTAATAAACCGAATTTGTTGAAACTTTTAAGTAATCAAACTAAACTAAATGATAATAATAGGCTCATTATAAAAAGTAATAAGATCATTTATTATATGCCGAGTTTGTACCAATCCGTATGTATTTTTATTACAAAAATTCTATGGTGCTGACAGTGTACCATATTATATCCCACTTGATACATAATATGACCTACTTTTATTAGCCACATCATCATAATTTAAATACATTAATTATATAATATTATTGTCATGTATTATCATAAATATGATAATAATATTATTATCTTATACTATTTGAGTTATCCACTATAATCTCAAATTTATTCTTGAGTGTTCTAAGTTTGAAACTTTCTAAATTCTTCTTGGGTTTTTTTTTTTATTTTGTACTATAAGGACACATGATAAATTATTATAAAAGAATTATTTTTATAATTATTGAGGATTATTTTTCTAATAATTTGTGTAGTGTAATCAATTCAAGATATAACAATAACAATAAAATGTTATTTTAGTCACTACGAAAATAATACTCGTTAATTATGAGAATTTATTTTCTTCGTGATGATTTATCATATGCCCATTAGCACAAAACAAAATAGAAAAATTCTTTTTTTTTTCCAGTAAGCAATTTTCATTCTTACTAAACAATGGACTCAAACTTTGCACGAGTCTTCAAAAGTTTAACTTGGTTCTCAACTCAATACTCACAAGTCACAAATCAACTAGTTATGATTTTTTAGAAATAAGAGAAAGCAGTGTCATTTAAAATTTGCCAATTACCATCTATAAAATGAACTAATAAAAGCAACAACCTTAATTAGGACAATCACCAACTGTATTTACTGTGTCTTCTGATAATTGTTCTTTATCTTCCAATTTTTTTAATTTGAAACCGGGAATGAATACGCATTTACTTGATTAGTCATCAATGCGTGCTGTGACAGCAAATAACTAACCAATTAAATTAGCATCCCATGAATATGGCATTTTACCAGAAAAGAAAAAAGACGACAAATATATGTAATTTAATTTGACAGACAGAAGAAGAATTATAAAATCACGCGCCCAAAATGCCCACCAACACGCACAAACACTTTCTCCCTCAGTTTGTTTTTTAACAAATATTTTCCTGCATTCCCCACTCCCACGTGACTTCCTGATCCCCACTAGAAATTCCAGCTGCTCTCTGCTCTGCACTGCAACACACTCAAACACCACCACCACCACCACCACCACACCCTACTCTACCACTACACTACACTACACTACCTTCCCCTCTCTATTCTCACTACTCCACCACCACCAAAAGCAAACAAACATGAAACCAACACAAACTTGCTAAGTAGTTTTTACCTCGCTTCCCCCCCAAAAAAAGAAAACAAAATGCCTCTACTAACCAACTCAATTTTTCCACTCCTTCTTTTCATCTCCGCCGCCGCAGCACAGACAAACTACCTCCTCCAGAGCGACGCCGTGTCGCTGCTCTCTTTCAAGTCCAAAGCGGACCTGGACAACAAGCTGCTCTACACCTTAAACGAGCGCTTCGACTACTGCCAGTGGCAAGGCGTGAAGTGCGCCCAGGGACGCGTCGTCCGCCTCGTCCTCCACTCCCGCTCCCTCCGGGGCACTTTCCCTCCTTCCACCCTCTCCCGCCTCGACCAGCTCCGCGTCCTCAGCCTCCACAACAACTCCCTCTTCGGTCCCCTCCCTGACCTCTCCCCTCTCTCCAACCTCAAATCCCTCTTCCTCGACCGCAACTTCTTCTCCGGCTCCTTCCCTCCTTCCCTCCTCTCCCTCCACCGCCTCACCCTCCTCGATCTCTCCCACAACAACCTCTCCGGCCCCCTCCCCCCTCAACTCAACTCCCTCGACCGCCTTTCCTACCTTAAGCTCGAGTCCAACTGGTTCAACGGCACCCTCCCGCCCCTAAACCAGACCTTCTTGGTCGCCTTCGACGTCTCCGGGAACAACCTCAGCGGGCCTGTTCCGGTGACGCCCACGCTCTCGCGGTTCGGCGCGGCGTCGTTCCAGCGGAACGCGGATCTCTGCGGCGAGATTATTAACAGACCCTGCCGCTCGCGTCCTCCGTTCTTCGAGAATAACACCTCCTCGTCGTCGGCGAATGCGACGGCGCCGTTTGGGCAGAGCGCGCAGGCGGAAGGCGGAGTGGTGGTGGCGCTGGCTCCCCCTTCGAGTGCGAAGCACAAGCGGAGTAACGTCGTCTTGGTGTTCGCCGTCGTCCTCTCGGTCTTGGCCGCCGCGATTTTGTGCGTCGGGGCGGTTTTGATCAACAAAAAGAGGAACAGAACTGTAAACGTATCTGCCCCGTCGGCGAGTCCGGTCAGGTCGGCCGGAGAAGAACCCGCCGAGGCTGTGAAAGTTGATGGTAATGCTGCTGCGGCGGCGGCGGCGAAGACGAAAGATATCGAGGTGGGAGAAGCAGTGGCGGTGAGGGCGGGGAGCAAGAGCGGGGGGCTGGTGTTCTGCGGGGAAGCGCAGGTCTACACATTGGAGCAGTTAATGAGAGCGTCGGCGGAGTTGCTGGGGAGGGGAACGATGGGGACGACGTACAAGGCGGTGATGGATAATCAGATGATAGTGACGGTGAAGAGGCTGGACGCGAGCAAGACTGGAGTTACGAGCAGTGAAGCGTTTGAGAGGCATATGGAACATGTGGGTTTGCTTGGTCATCCCAATTTGGTGAGGATGGCCGCTTACTTTCAGGCCAAAGGCGAGAGGCTTGTCATCTATGAGTATCAACCTAATGGCAGCCTCTTCAATCTCATTCACGGTATATTCTCTTCTTTTTTAGTCCTATTTTTTTTAAAAAAATCTAGATTCTATTTGCTGGGTTCACTGCTTGCTTGCTTGCTTAGTTGGGACCATATCTCCGGCAGTATTAGGCTTATCAAACTGCAGAGCAAAGGGACTTGGATTTTTTATTTCCATATTTATTTGAGTTAAGGATTGGGAATTTTGGGTAACAAACATACTGGATTTCGTTACTCTCATTGTGGGCCTCAGGAAATAGCCTAGACCTACCGACATATGACTATGAGGTCTCCTTGTTAAAATGTTTTTTTTTTAAGCCCCACGTTATGTCGCTGGTTGGTAGCAGTATCTGGATTTGTGGTGGTGCTGCTGGTGCTGCTGCTGTCCATTGGTAGATGATAGTATGTGAATATATTGGTCATAATCATTATTTTATACAGTGTTTGGTACCTTAAAGAAATGTTGCACCTTTTAAGAATTTGAATTCTAGTGTATTTATTAAAGTTTAAAACACATGCCAACACAGTTAGCTGAATAGGGAAGGTTTAATTCTCTCCTAATTTTCATGAAGAGAATCCTCTTATGAGGTGAGAGTTTACCTGGTCAACAGCTAGGCGTCCACAGAAGGCAAGCCAAGCTTAGCTTCATAATGGATTGATTGGTTATGACTTATGGTTAGTCTTCCGACTCCAAAATAGACAACAAGCTTGCAAGTAGAACCTCTATGGATGACTACGTCATGTTTGACTCTACCCACTAATATAAACAAACATTCACGCATTTCATTGAGCTGACCCTTATAATTTATATATCCGAATCTAATTGCTCTGTTTTATGCATGGTACTGTGATTTATTTAACCCATTACTGCCAAACCAATCTGTCAATTCGTTATTAGTTATTAGCTACTTGTGTTAAAAATTAAATTAGGTGAACACTGGCATATACTTCAGCATGCAATACTGTTTTTTTCTTATGCCCCCTGATTGATTATGTCATTGTTTATTATGTTAGAAGATTCTCTTGGTAATAAAAAAGGTCCAACTTGACATGGTGTAACATGAAGTAACAGATTATCAAGTACTTATAGTTGAGTTTGTATGGTGTGGTTTTCTTTCTATCAATTAGAATGCAGTTGTATAGTTGAGCTAGCTAGCTAAAAAAGCTGGATGGACCAATTCAAGATGGGAGTAAGTTGGTCTATACCCTCTGTACTACTGGATAATTTCCAGTTCTCATAAATGCGAATTGCTACGTTGCTTGAATATTTTGTGCTCCAAAATGCGGAATGCATATCCTGAACGTTGTCCAGCACTGGACGCGTTAAGTCCACTGGTTTGAACCATTTGGAATCCACTTCCACAATGGTGCGTGATCTTCAGGGAACCTGTTTGGTCCAGAACCGCTAATCCAAAGTTATCCTGATCTAAAATGTCCTAACTTGACGAGAATTATCCAACTGTCAAAATCTTTATGATCCATCAAGGATCAGTTCTTGTTTTCCCTGTTTACACATGTCATGCTTATATCAGATTTTTGTGTCTACTCAAAGCAAATTTGCCTTGTCTATCCTAACTGATGGTAGTGATCTTTCGAAGAAATACTATTCATATAGCTTATGCATTTTCTTGACTAGCAGCAAAAGCCATTTAAGTGGATGGAGAAGAAACCGATCAAAAGCATAGAACAGAAACTACATCTGAGTAACAAAATCCAGGGAATGAAGTACTCCCTGCATGTTTAAATTGTTAGTGAACATTCTGAATGATGTTACATTGTTTGCTGATTGTAAATGTTAGCATTGGTGTCTACTTTTCTTGCATGCATTTCATGGGGATATTTCCCGAAGGGTAAATCTCTGAAAATGTCCATGGAGAAACTTACATCAGGTTGATGTGCTTATTCCAAGTAAATGTGGTAAAAATGATTTGGTGGTGAAAGTTTATTGAGTAGCAGATTCCATGTGTCTCTAACTACTGATAAAAATGTGGATAGGTTCGAGATCAGTGAGAGCAAAGCCCCTTCACTGGACTTCATGCTTAAAGATAGCAGAAGATGTGGCCCAGGGTCTTGCCTACATCCACCAAGCATCAAAGCTGGTCCATGGTAACCTGAAATCCTCCAATGTCCTCCTCGGAGCTGATTTTGAGGCATGCATTACGGATTACTGCCTCGCCATCTTAGCAGATACTTGTGCTAGCGAGGATCCCGATTCTGCGGCATGCAGAGCACCCGAGACCCGCAAATCTAGCCGCCAAGCCACCCCTAAGTCAGATGTGTATGCATTTGGGGTCCTATTGTTGGAGCTTTTGACTGGTAAACATCCATCACAGCACCCATATCTTGTGCCTGCGGATATGTTGGACTGGGTTAGGGCAATGAGGGACGATGATGGTGGGGATGATAATCAGCTTGGAATGCTTACAGAAGTTGCCAGTGTCTGTAGCTTGACATCACCAGAACAGAGGCCAGCAATGTGGCAAGTATTGAAGATGATACAAGGAATAAAGGAAAGTATTCTGGTCGAAGGCTAAGTAACTGTCAGACCCTCCAAGACTGGTGCCTACATTTGATTGAATGCACAATGGACGCAAAAGCAGTCAATTTGGTTCCCTGCTACTCGTAAAGAAGATACCTCCTCCCAGTGCGGTAGTAAGATGGACGCGCGGGGAATTGTTTTGATCCCTTGGGGCATCCCTGATGACTTGATTAAAAGCACACCAAGGGATGATGTTGTTGTAACCTTGATACGGTAGATAAAGTCATGATTTTGTAAAGGCTTCCTTTCCTCTTGAGTATTGTAACTTTGAATTTTGCTTCGTCATAGTTTGGGACTGTCCAGATGTATTATGATCATCCTTGAGGAAAGAAGGTTTATATTATGTATCACCCAATCAATTCAAGTCTCTTTTCTGACAAAAAAAAAGAAGAAAAAAGCTATTTATTAAATGACAGTATAACGAAAAACGAAACGTAATGGGGGGAAAAGAGAATAGCAAATTGAGTTTAGTAGTCCAACAATTCCGTTTGGTTGGGTGTAATAGGATGTAATGGAAAGGAATCAAATGGAATCTATGCCTAAATTTTAGGAATAGAATCAATTTGATTCCATTCCATTACATCTCATTACACCCAACCAAACCAAACGGGCCGTAAAAGCATTAATCCGTCTTGTCTACCTTCAGAGAGTTGGGTATTGCAGTAGGGGGATGCGGTGTTTTCTGGGAATGGCATCTTATGCCGAAGGTCCACGAGTCCATGATTTCAATTAGTGCGTAGACCGAGCCACAATATTGCATCCCCCCGTAGAAGCTTTCCCGGCGAATGACATCATCCCCATCACCTGAACTAACACACACATCGTTCGAGGTCATCTTCTTTATTTAGTCTCCCTGTCTGCCTGTCTCTCTCCCCTTTTTTCCGCCCTTTAGTTTCTAACCGGAGACTGAGACTGGCTTTGTAAGTCGTTGTTACCTAACCCAACCATCTTAATTTGGGAGACCCCATTGGCTGGCTAGTGGTGGGATTGGGGTCGGGACCTTAAGTCCATTAAAAGATGAATCCATTTATTGGGCCCGTCTGTTTCACATAAAAAGTTAGGCCTCAGGCCCACCACCTTGCATGGCTGCAACGATTAGGTGTGTCCGTCCACCCAGAAAATGTTACCACTCCACAAGGCCAGTTAACCACACCTCCCTTCCGGCCGCCCACCACAGAGACCCAACCGAGGGCGTTAACACTTCCCTCTGCGCAACTCTGCCGGAAGTTGCCGCGGTCTGCATCTATCTACACTCCCACAACTCGCAAAAAGGAAACCATACTTTTTCTTCCACGTTGAGGTCAGTTTCAGATTGCATTATAGACAATAGCTGCTATGGCTTATGCTCAACCTAAGCACATTTATTTGCTTACAAAAAGATAAAAGCCTTCAAACTGGAGACTAAATCATCCCGGACCAAACCAAAGATGCTATTTATTTCTAACACTAACAAAATCATGATATATACAAAGAAGTTGAAACAATGCACAAAATCCTGTACTGAGCAGAACAATTTACAATCTATCATCAAACATGATACAAATAAAACAAAAAAGAATAAATGAAATAAAAACGACCCCAGAAAAATAAAGATTGGGCAACAACACTATCACGAAAGGCCTTCCAAATGTACGGGATCATGTGGTTAGAAAGGCCCCTAGCAAATTCCAAACCTTTTGCAAGCCCACCAACAACACGACAAGGAAGCTTACACATGATGATTTGGCCAGTCCATCCCGGCAGACTTCATCAGCAACATTTCCTCAATAGTATACACACACCCAGTTGATATCTCATTAAAAGAAAGAACAGCACAGCACTTCCCCTTCCCGTTGTACAACATTCCTGCATTCTTAAAGGAATATGACCATTCTCAAAGCATTGTTCCCGCAGAAAATAACAGAAAAAGAAGTAATAACACACAAAATATCACAAGTCTGCTTGCTGCTATTTAACATCTAAAAATAACCATCCACATTGCAAGGCCTTGCTGCCTGAGCTTTTGATGACTTGAAGCCATAAGACTCGTAAGTAAAAATTATTTAACGTATGTTAATTGCCACGTAAACAACTCCTGTCATTTTCTGAGCAGTATGAGCGATAACTAGTACGTATGTAAAAGGTGAAACAAGAAGCTTAGATTACCTCCATTCCTGCTTCTTCCGACTCGGCCATGCATCATATTATGCACGCTAACCAACATTCAAGATGCATTAAATCATCGAGAAAGCTGGCAAAACACGGCTGTCATACCATATCGACAAGAGTTCGAGTCCTTGACCTCATGATTGTCTCATCACTGTGTTTTATCCATTCTGAGAGCTTCCAGGGTTTCTGCCATTTCCATTTGAACTGAAGCAACCATTGATGATGACTCCTCTTCCACCTCCACAATTTTCCAGATTGCCCAACGGTTGCCACTTTCCTCATTGACAGCTGTCCAACTGGCACCATCTGTGAGTCACAGCAGCTGCATTATATCACAATCTAAAAGGCATGCATAAGTAAGGGTGTTACCTTTCGTGTCTGGTTCAAAAATGCTGCTGCTTCTTTAACAGATCCATTAGCAATCCCGGGTGAGAATTTTAGTTGCTTTGGAGCTGGAAGAGATCTTGGGGATAGAGGACCAATTGTGTCATCTACACGGTGCTTATTTGAACTGCGTGTCCTTCCCTGTTGATTTCAACCCAAAAGTCCAAACAAAACATTCTCATTGTTAGTCATTGGGGTTGCGACACTCAAGAAGAGTTGCTCTCAAAACCCAAATCACATTCGCTGATGATTGACTTTGAACAGGAACTTATAGACTCATGCAGGAATGTAGTTGCCACAAGACCACATGGTCATTTGTAACAATAGCCTCACTGGACCGACAAAGACTATCTTCTTAAGGATACTTTCAAAACAGCTGATTTCCACGTTAAACTACAAATTATTAATCAAGTAACATTTGCAATAGAAGCCCAATAATTGATTTTTATGGTGCAAAATAGAACCCTTAGCATATTAACCATCAAATTCTAGGTTAGAAGTCTCTATATTCACATCAACAGCCCTTTTGATTAAAATACAAGTGTGTTTAATCATTGATCGCAGGATAGGACATCCTATCTGAGCAAGCTAGCATTAGGGGAAGGTATAATGCATCTACATGTCATAGAAATGACAACCATAGGGGATCTTATAGCACATCCTTACCGAAGGTGGTGTAGCTAAGGCAATGGCAACAGCTTGTTCCCTTATCTTTTGCTCCACAAGTTCTTTCTTCTGGGCCTCACTCTGTCGTAACAGAGTAACAAGATCGTTAAGCTGATCTTTCATGTCCTTGATTTCCATATCTTTTTCCCACAATTGGCACCTGTTGAAAGATAAATACCAGGATTACTACCACTCCAGAACTCCAGCAAGAAGGCACAATATTTTATTGCTCACGAAGCAAACAAATTTTACTGCTTCTTCTTGCGCAAATAAGATCACATCTGACCTACTTAATTTTGACCACAAACAATGCAGGCAAACAGAGTCATCTTCATCCATACAACGGAATAATGGTGACAGAATTATCTTATTGGCATAAAAGATATAAGTTGAAAATTTTACACTTCATTAGCCACTACTTGGAGTAGGACTGAGATCACTGCATACCATTTACCACATGCAGAAGAAATTTGTGATCAAGCAGAGTTACAGTCCAAGATAATAATATGCATTTATATCTTTTGCAAAAGGAAATGATTAATAAAGAGAAATGTATCCCAGTTTTCGTTCAATATAACCTTGCTTCTGCAGCGGCATTGAACATATATTGAAGCAGGGATTTTGCTTCTCCCATTGAGCGTATCTGATTCCAATGTCCACGTCCAATCGAAGTTCGCTCCCTCTCTCCTGCCTCTGAAAGTTGCGAAGCCATTGCCATAAGCCCATTTGAAGACATGCTTAACATGTTCTCCAGAGAAACTATTCGCGCCATTCTTGCGTTTGGTGACATCAAGAATCTAATTGATTAAAAGGAGCACAAACAACAACATATAAGTTATAAAATAACAGCAAAAGATACTTTTTTCAGCTTTACCCTTTAATATTGTTTTCATTTTGACCAGTCAATTACAATATGCAGACACAGAAGCAAGAATTATTGAGAAACATATCATTACCGCATACCTAGAATGTCCTTTCATTCCTTTCTGTGTAGTATGCCCATTTGGAGACATTGAATCCACTTGTTTCAAAAAAGTTAATTCTTCTGCTAGTGCAGCTTGACTGTGATGAGAAAACAATTGGACAATATTCGAGAAAGCTTATATTGATGAAAACAAACAAAGAAATTTACAGATTACATACTGTTGTCTTTGCTTTTCATGTTGAATGCGAACCTCATGCACTTTCACCATGACTTCTAGCTCATGATGCAGCCACTTTTGTAAGGATTTCTCATTGCCCTAAAAGTAGAAAAGACGTGAGTATTCATTGCCCTAAAGGTAGAACTGACATAAGTATTGTTGTAGTGGTAAGTTTCAATGACAAAACCACTGTACAAGTAATAGATGAATCTGTTTCAGCAGACTGCAGTGTGCTTTAGATGCACTAAGGGTCACATTAAAGTGGCTATAATACCCATACAGCCAGCCAACCTGTTCAAATAAAATATGTCCTTGACAAAGTGATAGTCTTTCCCAAATATATTAGGGCAGGTACCACAATGCTCACAGATAGGATTGTAAACCGAACCCCAACATATTCATAAGAAGGTGTTGGATTTAACAGACACCAGCAGATTGCAGGTAACTTGTTTCAGTCAAAGAAATAGCTCGATCATAATAGATACTTACCAGTCCAGAAGGCACATGTCCATTTGGATTAACTGCAAAGAATGGCAGCAAAATTAGGGTGCGAGAAATTATAAAGCCAGGCCAATTCACAGATCTGCAGAAGCAAATTTACCATTCTCACGGGCTGAAAACTTGCGAGCTTCCAACAACTCCTTCAATCTTTTGG